GTAATGGAACATCTCGTCAATTATAACGATATATTTATCAGTCTCGCGATGTTCGCGTAATTATTTCATTTTAATAAAATTTCAATCCACGTGAGCCATAATAGCTGCGTAAGGACACTATTAATTTGATTATTAATATTATTATTGCAACTCGTTATCAAATTACATTGATTTCATTGTTAAATACATTAATTAAATAAGTTATTATAATTTATTCAAACATTTAAAAAATATTAAAAATAAAACATTAAAATATTTATTGTAGAAAAATATTTCGGAAAGAGATCTAATCAAATCAAATTTTTGTCCCGAGAGAAAATTTAAAGATCTAAGGAATTCGTGGATAAAAATATGCAAAGAATATGTGCGAAAAATTCGAAACATCCCCTACATATGCTACAATAAATATCAATCACGGTTATTGATGCAAACGATATGATAACGATTATGTAATAACGACGTGACTCCTTTTCCGGGAGCGAAGCGAAAGAAATGGAAAGTCGATGCTGTCGCGAAATAACCAGGAATTTGTGATTGTTCGGGGATGCAAAAGAGATTTGAGAGAGGAAACCAACTGCACGCAGTTGATAATATTCAGATACTTTGCGTCGTTATTTCTTGTCGACTTCTTGTCGCAATCAAAATGCATCAGTTTGCAAAATATTTCCTTATAGTATTTTTTTAATTCTTAAAATACTCTTTAAAAAGAAACACGTTAAAAAAAATATCTAATTGTAAATATATATATACGATATATATCTTTCAAACTTTTATGTGCTTTCGTATTCAATTTTTTTAAACTTGCGATATGTAAACAAATTTGTTAAATAATTAATAGTTCGAACTTATAAGAGACAAACGTATATTTATCGCATAATTCACGATTTGCTAAGCTACAGTTAAACCTAGAGAGAGAGAGACTAATGTCTCGCGGATTTCAGGATTAACATCCCGAGATATTTGCGCGAGTTACAATACCCACACAACACCAAGCATGATCTTTGTAATCCCAATTTATAGACCTAGGGGATATCGTATAACATCCTCGACCTTTCCATTGATGAAGAAATGAATTACTCCAAAGTTCTGCTCAGTTTCTGCTCATTGGAAGAATCCGGTTTCTTGTAAAAACAACTTTACCAACCAACACATATATTATAATTTTGTATTATATTTTGTATTTTGTATTAATTTTATATTATAATTATAATTTTGTTTCAAATTAATCGAAAGTCAACCCAAATTTTTTAAATCATGTTTTTATAATCTAGTTATGTAGCATCCAATTGAACTTTCATCAAGGAAAAATTGCTGTTAAAGATTAATCTCTGATCATTAAGTGACAGAATAGCCGTAACAACCTCAATGCTTTTTTCTCATTTAATGCCTAAAAAAGGAGACTCGAGAAGATATGAAAATACATTAAGATATCTTAATCGCCCTATCTTTCATGCGCATTTGCGTGTAATCGAGTGAATTAAACGCAATGACTGCCACGTTACACTTGCTCGTCTCTAACGAGAATCGCTTTCGACTTGGTCAATTTTCTGTTCAAACAAGATCGAAAGATAGAAAGCGATGAGAATATATATTGGATGCTGTAACGGAAATCGACTTTAGTTGCATTTTAATTATGCCGAGCTATCGAGCGTGTTCCAATTTAGCATTACTTTTTATGTCGCGAAAAAGGACAGGCAAAGGAAAATCGAAAATCGAAAAATACGAAAATTGATTATTTAATTCACCAAATCGTCCGAGATTTTCCGTTTGGCATCCAACCATATCCATGTAAGTATGTATAATTGTCTTTTTCGAAAATTGTCTTTTAATGAAAACATGTCTTTCATATATTTTCTTGAACATTTAGTAAATTTTCTTGAACGGAACGAAAATTAATAACTGAACAAATAAATGTAAAATACTAATAATTTCAAACTTTTTAATTTTTAAATTTGTAGCTTTGATTTTTTAATCTATTAATTCTGATTTTTTAATTTACCTTTTTTTAATGTACCACAAAATGATTCAACCCAGTTTTGCTTCTCATTGAGAGACGCTTCTGAACTAAATAAGAAGAAAAAAATTAAGATTCGCGATGATCTTGTGAAAGAGCCGTCTGTTCTTGTGATACGATGCAATAGGATAGACAGCTATCGATTTTGCATCTATCGGGGGGATCAACCGCGTGTTTTATGACATGTCCCGTCACGAGACTCTTGCGAGGGATATCCGGCGGACGTGGGTGCAGAATGCTCGCTATAAATAGGTATTTCCGTCGTTGACTCAAGCTCTAACGTTACCGCTTTGTTTTCTTTCGTGATTTCTCTAGTGTGCTGAGTTATTTATCTGTCGCAAAACATGACAGTTTGTTGTGAATTTATTGTTTAGTTCGACGCTCGGGCAAGAGCTTGAACATCAATTCGAATTCTGTTAATTCGTTTAATAAACTAGCTCTCGAGTAAATTGTGTTTTAGCGTTCCTGTATTTTTTTTCTAATTAATGTCATTTTATTACGATCGGTTATTTCACCCAGTCACGTGGATTAATATCTCGATTAATATCTCGAAAAACTAAAAAATTAATCTATATCAACGATCTATATCAAGTTTTTTCTGTATATGTGCCTCGTGAATTCTGTATAAAACGGGCATCGATGGGTATATCATATTCTGTGTATCATAAACTGATCGGTGGATAGGATTATCGACTTATCGATCTGCGATGCGATCGAACGGAAAGTAAAACAAGAGTAAGAATGACGTTTTGCGCAGGGCAACAGCGATGAATAATTCAATCGTTTTGCACGAGTCAGTAGAAACGTCGACTCGATTTTGACATCGATTCTTTCCACTCGGATCGCATCGATCGAGCGCCCTTAAAATGAAACTTCCCTCCCGCACTCATAATTTGACCAGCTCTCGATGCTCTCGATGAATAAATGACGCGCAGGGTCGAGGGATCATCGAAACAGTTTTAATATTGTGTATCAATTTTCGAAATCGACTTTTTCTCAGTAACTTTTTTCTCAATATCGTACACAAGAATACTACTAAAATATTTTGCTATAATTTTGCATGAAAAAAGTTTATTTAAAAATAATTCAAAAGTTTATTATTTAATAAATATATAACTGCTTCTCTCTTGCAGACAATACACATCTCTCTAGCTTCCTCTCTCTTTCGAGAAATCCATAGTACAAGGGAAGCACGATCGATGTGTGACACCGCGGATATATCGGCGATGCGCGTCACGGAAATTAAAATTCTAATTTCTGGTTGATCGAAACACGAATACTCGTCTCACGCGTCGATGCGCGTTGCATATTTCTACTGATTCACGCGGTGCAACGCGATATTTTGCTCGAAACGAGCGCTCCCATATGGAGTTTTCACGCGTCGCGTGTTAATTAGAACGAAAGAGCTACGTCGGGTCTGTAACGAGATATTTTTTCGCTTTGACAGAATCACGCTTTTTTCATCGAATTTCGTTAATTGCTATTTATTCGTTTATTCTGTCTCTAGATTACTTTTCAATTCTTCGCACTCCATTTTTAATCCCGAGTCAATCTTTCCCTCGACGAATATTGTCAAGAGGCGGAAGTTGTCGTTGCTCATCTCAATTTCGAGGACTGTAATTTCCATTTGTCGCCGCGGTATTCGATCCCCGGTGAAGATTTACGGCGGAAAAATACGGTTGACGAGTAGACGTAAATTCGCTCTGTTAATGAGCTCAACAGGTGCATGGGGTATATTCGAGATTGAAGCTTTTACCTCACGACTGCTTGGCACGCGTGAGCGAATCGTCGCAGCCTCGCAAAATTCACATCTTCGTACACATTCTTATACGTTCCAATCGTGAAATCGAATCGATTTATATCGCGATGATAAAGGAAGCAAAGAGGAACAAAAGAGAAGCCGGAAGATGGAACCGAGCGCGAGCAACGACAAAAGGAGGTAGGTATTCGACGAAATGGAGAACGAGAAAATACGGAGAGATAAGAGAAGAAGATGCTTTTGTATGCCAGATGAAACTCGCGCGGTGAAGAAAACGCGAGGATTTCATCGGAAACGAGCGCTTTGAAAATACGTTCGGCGCAACGAGGATTTTCTTCCTTGATGGGTTCAAAAGATTCCTCGGTGACTAAACGCGATTATCGCGAATAGAACCCGGTATGTACATTCGTCTCGAATAAAGGAAATGTACATTTTTTAAATAATTAATGTTTGATTATTCAAATAGAAATTTCATCTTCCACGCTTCAAATATTTTACTTTTATAGCAGCCTAAAGAGAAATGTTAACCTTTATAAAGTAGCATGTGTGATATCATTTAAGATTTATCTATAGTTGGATAATGAAGTTATTTTTTTTCGAATTATAAATTAGTAATGAAGAGAAAAAGAGAGAAAGAAAATTCTTATTTTAATATTAAACTTTCAGAAAAAAAATTAATGAAAATAAGTCAAAGAATATAAAAAGAAAAGAAATATATTCTTTCGAAAAAATAAGATTATCTATAATAAAGAAAATTTGTATTTTTAAAATGTTTTAATTCAAAAAGTTTATTTTTCAAGTAGGAACTTTATTCTACGCGTCAAATATTTTATCGTACTTTTCTCAGCTGTCTGGAAGGAAATACAAACGTTATCCTTCATAACATAATATAATTTTATCATTTCGTGATATATCTAGTCGAATCATAAAGTTATCTTTTTTAATTATTGATTAAGATTTATGAATTTATATACTATAATAATTTTAAAAAATAATCAAAACACAGAGAATTTTTAAATTATAATCTTAAATTTTCTGAGTTTTTCTTTTAATCTTAATTTTCTAAAAAATATAATCAATAAAATAAGCCAAAGAATAAAAAAAGAAAGAAATATATTTTTTACCTTGAGAAAAAATTGAGATGAAGAAGGTAAAGAATATATTGCTTACAATGATCTCACACATGTTCGCTTAATTTAATTATAATAACTTTTTAGTCACACTCACCCGACTTCGCCCAATTTGACCACTGGATAGGGTTGTGGAATAGTTGATAATTGCGAGACAATGGCAAACAACAGCAATCTCGTTGGCAGGACCTAGTGAGAGATTTAATTGGCTGTTAAATGATCGTTCATTCAGACTCGATAATTGGGATGATCCCCATCTCCCTCTCTCTTTCCGTTGAATTAACGCTAATTACTCTTAATCATATAATCAATATATACTGAACGGATGCACACGAAATTGTCCTCGCGATAAATCGATAAACATAAGATACGATACTAATGTACAACGAGTATTGAACCAATATTTGAACAAGTAATTTTGTAAATTTGCATTTTATATGCGTCATAAAGATGATGAATGATATCATTAATCTTATCCAAGAAGTATCAAATTATTTTATTTCATTTTATTTTATTTGGCACTTGCAATTTCAAATTATTTTATTTCATTTTATCTTATGAAAATATTTTATTACAATATTTTTCGTTTTATTCGGTACACTCTTCGTACATTTCTTACATATTCAAAATGAATGGGATCGCAATAAACTAGATGTCACTTAGAGTTTTTAGATTCGATGAAATATTGAGTTTCGACTTTTTCCAAAATTATTTTCAGATATATCTATCTGGAAATATTTTCTATGACGTATTCGACAAATATAAATTTCGAAATATTACCGCGATGAATAATTTTATTTATGCCATCCATAAATGGATATCGGATCTTACGCGGAAAGAGTATCGCGTTATGACATACGGTTTCGCGGGTGCGTTATTGCGTTTTAATCGCAAACAACCGAGTCTGTTTGGTCAAACCCGATCAAACCCTGCTACAATTAATTAACGTACATTGCACAACATGGTGTTCTCCGGTTGCAAACAATGTCGAAATAATTAGTATAGCGAAAAATGCGCTATGTGAGAATAAATGTGTTTGTTAGAAACAAGATAAATTAGAGAACGTGAGAGAGAGAGAGAGAGAGAGAGAGAGAGAGAGAGAGAGAGAGAGGGAGGGAGGGAGGGAGAGAGAGAGAAAGAAGGAGAGGGAAAAGAGTGTTCTTTCCTATTATTTTGATGTATGTGAGATCTCTTTTTACATGTTACATCATTTTACATTTTTTGATTATTATTCTATGAAAATAAAAAATGTAAAATATTGCGAACGTAGTTTCATACAGTAACACAGACACAAAGATACACGTTAAAGAAACATTTCTCTTGCACGGTAGTCATTTTTTAACAGATAATTAATATACGCCGTGTGTTTCGGAGTATAAACGCGTTTGCTAGAAGCGAGACTCTTTCAACCCTTTGAAACGAGACCATTATGATGTAATGAATATTAATGCAAACATAAATTTTATGAAAGCTGCGTAAAAGGATGCGTAAAATAGGCAGGATTTATGAGGTTGGGAAGAAAATTGATATTTTTTTACTAATCCGTTTGTTGAATATATGCGCAAATCGATCTCTTTTAATACAATCGATATTAAATTATAATTATTTAAAAAAATAATTGTGTGCTATATACTATACTAATATATAAAATTTATTATGCTCGCGAAATATCAACATCTTGTAGTCGTTATAATATATTTCCTTTACGAGCGTGGATAATATTGTAGATCGTTTATGTGCCACGGCTTATAACTTGCCAGAAAGTGCTGTTTTGAGGATCGAATGCATTCCGTCGCGGATGCAATGGAAGCAGGAAGCAGGCGGCTTATTAAATTCTCTACGATAGTGAAATGTGTAGCAAAGCGAATATAGCCACTCGCTATCTATCTCTTTCTCTCTTCCTCTCTCTCTGTCTTTGCTCTTCTCTCCCTGAGAGTTAATAATTCTCCTTTATACACGGTACTCTGGACCGTAGAGAGCCACTTTTCATCTCACGAATTCTTTGACCAATTTGGAATCATTTCTTTCCATGGCGGAAAATGTCGAAATATATTTATTTTCCGTTGCGAGTTCTTCATTTTCGATACATCGATTCTCTTTTAATAATTGTAATTTTGATATTAATTGCAATCAAACATTTATTTTTGTTATTTTTTTGCTAAGGATGCTCTTTTCTGAATTGTCAACTATAAGTTTTAATAATTTCAATTATTTAATTAGACTAAAATATTTTTAATATGTACATTATTTTTCGTTAAAGGTACTTTATCTTTATATTTTTAATATTATAATATATTATAAATATATTTATATTTACAGGTATATATCAATAATTTTAAAAAATCGATTTTTCGTAGCGAAAATTTCCTAACAAAGAATATATTTGACGAAAACGTTTCTATAAAAATATCGAATAATTGAAAGAAAATGTATTCCGCTCATGTGTTGTCATTTCATCCGTTTTGTATATTATGGATGTCGTACAAAGCGTGAAATTTGCATCTCATTTAAAAAGATTTAGCGCTGCGAAAGCGGATATTGCGGCGATACAAGCCGCGCGTGACGCGTTACTTTCCTAAAAGCTATTTACATGACGCGGGCTACACGAAGGGTTAAAAGTGTCCATGTAAAATGGGATGGAGCTTAAAACTACGCGTATAATGTGTATACAAGATGTCTCGGAACCACTAGATAATCCCTTAAACGAACCGTTTGTTTGGGAAATGTACAGGCGACAACGTTTCGACTCGCAGTAAAGAGTAAACTTCTTTTAATCGTATTTTTTCCAGTTTTGATATTCACTTTTGCACATTTTTATATTTGTAATTTTTATTTTGTAACTTACAATTTTACTAAAGTTAACATTTTTAATTTTTATAATTTTTCCTACATTCAAAATTTTTTATAAAATTTCATTAAAAATATGTAATTTCTGTCATGTGTTTTCTATTTCACATTATGCGGAAACGAACAAATGAAACTTATATAATTAATGAATTTTCAATCGTAAAATTATCTAATAAAAACAAAAATTTTCTCGCCCATCCTTTTAACAAACCTATGATTTCTTCTATTTTTTTCAAAGCTAGATAAATTGCTTCGTACAAGAAGAGATGTGCGACTTTAATTATAAAACTAATTATGTTTATGCTTTCAAAACTGTTGATTCATTTATTAATTAATATTTATTTCAGCACACGTATCATGATAATTTTACGTATAATATTTTTTCCTAAAGAGTTTCGATTTACCATAAAAAAAATCATACCTTTCGTTATTGCCATCTTGTCTTATTTCAAGAAGCTGGAAAAGATAGAAGGGATGGATATCCCAAGGTGACGATAAAATAGATCTGTCACAATCGAGGGACCCATGTCCACGTCGGTGACTTTTCAAGCATTTCGACGTTTCAATTCCACCTGTCCATATGTAATCGAGCGAGATCGTTGACGCTGCTAGTCGCCTTGAAAGCCCTCAGTTTCGAAACGCTAACAATAAGTATTCGAGAAAATGTAACCGATCTACCGGACATTGGGTTGCTGTTCGTCGACGATTCGTTTCAGGGAAATCTGATTAAATTGTCTCTGAATCTGAATAGTCGAGTGCCGTCTGAAGCACGAAGGAAATAGGTCAACCATGGCAGCATATAATCCCGCTGTTGGAAACTGGACAACTGCGATCGCATAATATTACTGGCTAGCGATATTAACGTTAAGTCCAAGATCGTGCCGAATTGCTTCGACGATTCAAAGGACGTCGAGATGATAATCGCTGGTATTAGGACGATGATAAGCCTCGGGCAAAGGCGATGTGAACATTCGCTTCGAGATTGTCGAGCGATACTCGTCCCGAATCTGAAAATTACGAATACAATTCCTCGCCTTTATTGGAAGAGCATAGTAAGGGATGAGAAGATCCTTTATCACATCTCAGATATTTGTGAGAAGAAACGAGGATAAAAACGAATTGTCAATTCTAAAAAAATTGAAGATATACATTTGCTGAAAGACTAGAGCTATTTACGAAGGATACAAGCTTATGACGCTGAAGTTTCGCAAGTTATCGAAAAATAATAAATAAAAAATAATAAATAAAAAAGAAAATGGAAAATAGAAATAAAAAATAAATTTTGCAAAATAGTATATCTAAAATTTAAAAAGCCTGTTGCACAAAATATTGCTGCACAAAATATTGCTGCACAAAATATTGCTGCAATTATAAAAAAAAAACAGATCTTTTTATATAAATATGTATATGAAATTTGGCATAAATAAAAGGTTTTTATGTGAAAAATTGTTTTTATAATATAATGGAAAAAACGAATCGGAATAATTTTTTCAACTCTTCGAAAAACAAAATTGACAAAATTCAAACTGTTTTGCAAAATGTCCAGTACAAATGTAAAACTTTATATACATTCTGAAAGAAATATTTGCATCGATGAATCGTTGTTACTTTGGAAAGAGCGTTTGTCTTGGAAACAATATATACTTTCAAAAAGAAATCGTTTTGGGATCAAATTCTTTGCATTATGCAAAAATAAAACTGGCTACATCCTATCTAATTACTGCGTATAAATTGATAAAAGTACATATTACGGTTCATATTATCCAGAATGCAAGGCTTCAACCCGCATTGTCCTTCAATTGTGTCATCATATTTTAAACCGCTTATTCCGATTAAATTTAGATAATTAAGGTAAATGGCTATAACTTCGTCAGCGGATATAATTTCGTCAAGCCTTCTTAAAATTAAATAAATTAAGCAATCTCGCGTATACCGACTATATTTTCCGATTTGAAACAATTTGAACATCGGTTTCAAATCGGGAAATATAGTCGATATACGCGAGATTGCTTAATTTATTTAATTTTTAGAAGGCTTAACGAAATTATATCCGCTGACGAAGTTATAGTCATTTATCTTAGTACTAATATAGAACTTGCAAAACAGATATTATTGGTACAATGCGGAAAAACAGGTGGTATTCCTTCAGATGTAAAAATAAGAGACAAAGGAGAACATATTGCACGATATAAAAACAAAGTGATGTTATGGAAATGGAAAGATAAAAGAGATGCATTGCTATTTAGTACGATACATGACAATAATATGGTGGAAATAGAGAAACGAGTTGTTAAAAAAATGAGACCTGGTTCTTGACTATGATAAGAACATGAATGGAATCG